TTCTCTTATGTATGAAAAAAACCTGTATTTAATTCATGATTTTCATTCCCCTTTCCATTGAAAAATGTATATTCTCCTGCTGGTGCGATGCCACCTCCACCCCATCTGACCTCCTGTACTCCAGCTAAATGTAACTTATATTTTAAGATTTCTTCTGCCACTGCTCCGAACGAACCTGCCCTATACAAACTTCAAACATTCCAAGTGCCAAATCTCATGTCCATTTTCTAGGTCCAAGGATTTGTGTTCATTTTCGTAAAAAAGTAATTTTTTTACGGTGAGGAGTTGTTAGCCCCACGCCCAACCCCCAAGCTGGAGGACCACCCCATGTCAGCTGTCCGCGACTGTTTATTCAATATATTCGCAGATTCCCTCCTAAACTGGAGGGCGTCTCCTCCATCCGCAATCTGAGGACGCGCCATGCCGTGGTGACAAGGGACCCACCTAACATGGGGGAACAATTATAACAAATAAAAATTTGATTCAGGAGGAAATTAAGGGGAGATTGAATTTGGGTAATGCTTGCTACCATTCAGTCCAGAAACATATGTATTCTCTTCTGCTTCCTCCCCCAAAAAAATTAGAATGTACAAAACTATAATTTTGACTGTGGTTCTGTATGGGTGTGAAACTTGGTCTCTGACGTTATAAGGGGAGCACAGACTGAGGGTATTTGAGAACATGGTGTTGAGAATATTTGACCGAAGAGAGATGAAGTGACAGGAGGTTAGGGAAAACTGCATAATGAGGAGCTTCATAACTTGTACTCTTCGTCAAGTGCAATTTGAATGATCAAGTCGAGGATGAGATGGGCAGGGCGCGTAGCACGAATGGGGCGAAGAGAAATGCGTGTAGGATATTGGTGAGAAAGCCAGAAGGAAATAGACCACTAGGAAGACCAAGATATAGGTTGGTGGATAATATTAAAATGGATCTTAGAGGGATAGGATGGATGGCATGACTTGGATTCACCGATAGAGGGCTCTTGTGAACACGGTAATGAACCTTCAGGTTCCATAAATTGCTGGGAAATTCCTGAGTAGCTGCCCAACTGGCGGCTTCTCAAGAAAGGCTCAGCTGCCTAAAGTTAGTTATCTGTCCACCATAGATTGGTGCATGGTAAATATGACCATCATAGCTCCAAAAGTGAGGCCCCTTCACAGTCCTCCCCTCCTCAAACATAAAACTGACATTTCCTCGGAAGTGGCTGTAATGATTTTGATGAAATGTTAGTATTTTGTGGAGACCATCTCCGTAAATACAAGAGCACAGGTGGTGTGTCTACAGGAAAATAATAATACGCCTTCTAAGCGGCACAGATGCATACATGAGAACGCATGTGCAGTGCTTTCACACCATTTTTAGCGTACTTTCCATATTTTGAAGGAAAAAATTGGAATCTTATGAAATAATTTTGTTGTCTCTATGTCCCGTTGTGTGCCCGTTTGTCTGTCATTTTTTTCGTTTTCTATGCAGTCCGTGTCATATCAAAGAACGTATGGGATCAGTTTTTCCCCCCATAACTTCTTGTTTATTTGTGTTTTATGGGTTAATCATTATTTAAATATGTCATACGAACCGTAAGATTGGGTACCATCAACTGTAATTAAAAAATTATAGACTACATAGAGAACTTCCAAATAACTGTTGAGGAAATTGCTGTGACCTCACCATTTCGCTCCCTCCCTCCTCCTAGAAATTTGAACCTTGTCTCTGTAGGATACATTAGATTCGCAACTACTACTGCTTACTTGCTTACTTATGGAGCTGAGCCCTTCTTGAGGAGCCGCCAATTCTGCAGCTACTCAAGAATTTTCCAGCATTTTATGGAACCTGAAGGTTCATTACCAGGTTCACAAAAGCCCTCTACCGGTCCTTATCCTCAGACTGATCAATCGTTATACCACCCCATCCTATCCCTCTAAGATCCATTTTAATATTGTCCACCCACCTACGCTTTTGTCTTCCCGGTGGTCTCTTTCCTTCTGGCTTTCCCACCTATATCCTATATGCATTCCTGGGCTCCCCCATTCGTGCTACATGACCTGCCCACCCCATCCTCCTTGACATGATCATTCTAATTATGCTTGGAGAAGAGTACAAGTTATGAAGTTCCTCATCATGCAGTTTTCTCCAACCTCCTGTCACTTCATCTCTCTTCGGTCCAAATATTCTCCTCAACACCCTCAGTCTATTTTCCTCCTTTACTGTCAGGGACCAACTACTGCTTACTACTCAGTTGAGGCAGCTCCTTAAGCAGCCTGTGTAATTATTTCGTTGGAAGATGCGCGTCGTTTGGTACGGAGAGGCAGAATGAAAGACATATCCTCTTTTTTGTGGCAAAGCCTCCATATTTGTATCCCTGCACTGAATTATCAGCTGCAGAAATGACACCTCAACGATCAAGAAGGAGTCCCCCCCCCTCACACCTACCGCAAGTGGCTGTGACGTCATTCACTTTGGCTCGAGGCAAGAGAACAAAGCCTGATTGTACTCTTGGTAACATATTAGAGATTTTGTAGAATCCCTGTCTTGAGAAACGGTCCGCCTTGCGTGTGTTAGGATCTTGGATTGAATGTCGAAGCAGCATATTGTTTTAAGTACGAGTATTTCACTTCCTATGGAGACTTAACTTGGATCCTATCCTGAGCTGGATGGATTCAGTCCATGTCGTACTCATATTCCTCTTAGATCCATCTTATTATTATCATTCATTTATCCGCAAGTTTCCTTTGTCTTCTCTTTACTCCGGGTTTGTTTTCCATTCTTTCCATATCCCCCCCCTTTCTTAACTTCAGTGATTTAATCACCCTAACATTATTGGTAAAGCTCCCTAGTGTGTAATTTTCTCCAATCCCATGCCTCTCTCTCTCTCTCTTCCAGATATTCCCTATAGTAATCTGTTCTCAAACACCCTCAGTATCGTATGGTTTCACCTGTGCGAGACCAAGTTTCACACCCGTAGGAAAGAAAATTTAAAATTATGTGTTAAACCTGGTTTGATTTGCCACATACAAGTATGCTAGTAATACAGGATGCCCTTGTAAATGTGAAAATAAAGTGAACGGATACTAGAGAGAGATTGCCCGTCTGTTTTTACATATTTCGTTTCTTATTTTAAGGAATTTTCGAGAATGTTATTACAGGTTGGTCTATACTGAGAGTTGCCGACAGTAATTTTATTTCATATTCGTCCAATGTAACCCCTACTTTACATGAAGCTCACAGCTGCCCCCTGCAGAACTCAACTTACTCAATTATAGCGCCATCTTTTCACAGCCTCCCTTGCAAAGCTCAGCTCATCTCACCTCAACTCCCTGTTAAGTCAAAGTTACGTTACGACCGACGGTCACTCGGCCAGTCTATCTTGGACTTGGAATGGAGGACCCATCTGGGTCTTACAGACAGATCTTTGTTACTGTCAGACAGTTGCAGGCTTGTTGATGTGGGGCGCTGTCTCTGACGACAAGAGGATCTGTCGTTTGCCAGAGTTAGTCAGCGGTAATAAGTCTGTTGTCAGTATGTACAATTTACATTATACATGCTATTAAATGTATCTATATACAACATATACAAGGCCTCTGTCAGTCCAGGCTCAGTACAACAGATCATGCCCCATCATTAATAGCTCCTGCTACAACGGCAGTCTAGTCACTTGAACAGTCGTATGCTTGACCGCCGTCAAGTTTAAGCCTCTTATATTTCCTGTGTCGCCGTTCGCCTTGTCCAATGTTGCGAACATTTGCATTCCGCGGGAACGTTTACCGAGCCATTGCTCTGAAACGGCCATTTGTTTCTTCGCCTGTTGCCTAGCAACGGTTGTACTCGTTTGTTTCGAGGTTTTTGCCTAGAAACGGGTATATACGCCGCAATATAATTTACATGTCTTACTGTCGTTCCTAAATTACTTGAACTTTTGCCACATTACCAAAGGATTTATTGGACTTTTATAATATATGATTTTGTATATGATGCTTACGAGATATGAATAGCTCTCTCTCTCTGGTTTGTTCTAATTCTCTACATGATTAACATTCTTGCGAATTTCCTGACTTAGTGCTGCACAGCTGGGTGGAAGCTGAAACCATTATCATTCCTGTCCGTAAGTAAATTTGGCCAACCGCGTGGTAATAAATATCCCAGTCTACACTTCAGGCACTTAATATCAGGGCGAGTTTATGCTGATACTTGAATCTCTTTCATTCATTTGCATTTTCTCAGATGTCATGGAGCGCGTTCTCAACCCTGGAGAGAGACTATTAAATTCGCCCTGTCCGTCCGTCTGTACGCATGAAACAACTCGAGAACCGCTGAACAGATTTGCATAGAGAAGAAAGTCGTCTTCTGGGTTTTGGCGCCGTGTATTCTTCGTTTTGGCCGACGTTTCGGAGGAACGTATCGCCTCCNGCATAAAATTTGATATTGTAGTTTATTAATAAACTTATGACGATGTTCCAATTTTGGTTGAAATCGGACAGAAGTAACAGGAACTTTGCATGAAGAGCTGCATGCGTTTATGCACATAATTATTTTTCATGTTATAACCTGGGAGCTAACAGCTCCTAAATAGCTCTACTCCGTGGGATTATGTTACAGTTCGCTCGCATTTTATGCGAGGATACATTCCTGAAGACAGCATAATTCAAGACAAGTTTTGAAACACGTGATTCTTTCCTAATTTTTTCGTGATCCGCGTTATTTAAAACTTTACGCGTCAAATGAGACTTTATTAATATTTTATTATATATCGTACTAATTCAAATTCGCATAAAATGCGACCGCACTGCATATCTCATGTCGTAGTAGAGGACCGTGTGAAGTTTCATAATAATTCCAGATGACCAGTAAATTCAAGGTTCATCATTGTATTCACAAAAGACCGCCATAGGAAAAAAAAGACAAAAATCTAACTCCGTGGCTTTAGTCCGCAAGCTAACTATACTAACCGAGCGACCGCCGCTTGTCGGTGAAGTTAGTGCCAACTTTTGCGGATAGAGGGTGTCACGTGGTCAGCGCAACGGATCCCCACGGCCGTTAATTTCGGTTATCCTAAGCAAATTAATACATTCACAGCTTGTTTTCTTAAGGTCACTTTTAACATCCTAGGGTTTCTGAATTCCCTCGTTTCATGAAATCACCGAGCAGGTTGGCATAACGGTAATACTGTAAATTTGTTTTAGAAAGTTCTTGGTTGCCTACTCCCCTCCAAATACTGCCGAGGTCAAGATTACGTGGATCTATACATCCACTCCCCCATACGCCTTCATGGCGCAGTGATTAGTTAAGCACGGGGACAACTTTACCTTTTTACCTTAGTTGCTGGGACACCGAGTTTCTTGACTGAGTGTTTCATTATTTTCCTCAGTCGTTTCAGGTAAATTTCTCAATAGTGTGTCAAATAGATCACGACCGCTTCCAGATTCGTTCCAATTTATTATTCACCCATCACTCTACTGTTCGGCCCTATATAGTCATGAGATATAGCGTCGTTAAATAACAACAAAAAATGCAATGAAGTGTCCCTTCTGAAATGATCTTGTCGCTCCATGTGCGCTGCCTACCTCATCCTGTCTTTAACCCTTCGCGAACAATTTTCACATTTTGTGAGGTTCTCACGGCGGGGCGCTGTAGGTCTGCATTCTTGTGGGAAAACAATACAAATTTGTGAATGTACAGGATGTGTCATTTAAAATGCAACACTAGCTACCCCTCTACTTTTTGCCATACTTCTCACGATCAATCTGGAGACCGCGTTTAAAACGTGGTCTGTAACACTCGGTGGCGCTTAAATTTAACTGCTAATAAAAATAAAGGAAAAGACGGGACGATTGTAACAGTAAACTTTTATTAATATATTTACAAAGTAGAACTATAAGATAAATTCTAAAACAATTTTACAGTATCTGCAATCACAATGTTATAATCGTCTTCCCCCGTAAATTTTATTAGTAAGATTTTATAGATAGTATCACTGCAGATTGAAATGCGTAAAATGTTACTATTGGCCCCAGTCTCCCCTATAATAATGTTCGTCGTGGTACGTACCATATTAACTTCAGAGATGGAATCAAAACTCGCAATTGTCAAGTCCATACCCACGTATAAAGGATCGCCTGTAAAGAATAAATAACAATTAAGTGTGACAACAGCCGACAGGATTCGAAGCCAATATACAGTTTCTAAATTAATTAGAGCCGGCAGCCAGGCCACTGTATATTATTTACTCTCACACTACAACATAAAATTGGTCATATTAGTGAAATTAGCCTGACATGTTTCGAACCATTGAATTTCATCCTTGGGTGTGATCCACATCTCCTGAGCCGTTTTAATGTAGATGTTACCAGACCAGGGTAAGTTATCATATAAAGATGTACAGGGTGTCCGGATTAAAGGTATCCTAAGTAAAATAATTATATCTCAAAGAATTTTTTATACACATTAATGAGTTAAACTATTGTCGCGCAGCCGAGGTGATCTCTTTGGGGCATCACCATAAGACGTCGAATAATTATTTTCTAATACAAAGTTTCAATTAATTCGTAGGATAAGGACTCAGTCTTGACTAGAGTCGAAGGAGTTCGAAGGATGAAGAAAGTTAAGTGAAGAAAATTGTTTAATTAGACTTTCCAGAAATAGAATAAGTAAATCTTCAAGTACAATGGATGTACACTCGACCAGTCGTTGTTGGTCTCTCCTCTGTCCACACACTAAAACTTACTTCTTATATCATGCTTACATTTTACAATTAAGTTCAATTTATCATTTCTTAACACACAGGGATGTAGTGAGCAGTTCCACATATGGTCATATGATCTTTTGAACCCGGTCTATGATACATAAGGGTGCAGTGAGCAGTTCCATATATGGTCATATGATCTTTTGAACCCAGGCCGAGATACTTCTCAACCCTTCTGTCTAGTCATAACATGTGTGTTTGTGACGGTCTAATCAGAGGACCAGGTCAACAAATAACTAACTTCTTACTGTCTACTGCGGTTAGGAAATATTCAGATTACGAAAGTACATGTTAAATGCAATAGTCAAATTATCCCTTATAACTACTACTTATGCCATACTACATCATACTACGTCACACTACATAATCGTACATCACACTACACTACACTACATTACACTATCAACGTTTTTTTTCTGCATATATAACTTTCTCAATAAATTTAAATGTGGGCTCCCTTGGTGGCACGACAAATATCGAGGCTTGAAGCATGTTTGGTGTTACCATAGCCACAGCGTTCCTTACGCAGGCTTTCAGGTGTTGAAGGTCTTGATCTTAACCTGGTAGACAATGTTCTTCACATAACCCCACAAGAAAAAATCCACTGGGGTTAAATCTGGCGACCTAGGAGGCCAAGCGATTGGTCCACATCTGCCAATTCATATCCCAGCCATCTCTCTGTCCAGGTGATTCCTAACATGGTGGCAAAAATGTGACGGCATATGCGCGTAAGCCGAGTATGAAAAAAAAACTTTCCGATGGCATAAACCGGGTACGTGTATGACAATTAGTGTCCGAGATATAAAATTTTTATTTTGGATACATTTCATCCGGATAACCTATATAACTATTTATTTATTTATAGTTTGGTGGTAAAGTTCACGCATGTTCACGGCAGTGATAGTTCACATTCTGAAAGAACGTGCTGCTTCCATCTTCAGGGTTGTTTATCCATATTTCCTATAGGCACAGATCGTTCTCCTTTTCCTTACCCCTCCCTTTGGTTTCATGACCATGACCTGCCCATAAACCAAGGCATTTCCTGAGCTTACACGCTTCAACCATGAAGATGGAGGTACCATGTTCCTCCGAAAAGTCGGTATCGATCAACAAGACCACATGATGCCACTAATCAGAAGACCAGAATTGTGAAGTTATATTGAGAGTCACGGTTTCTGAATGCCATAAACAATAGCTTATTAATCCATAGGATTCTATGCCGGTGTTGTATTCCAGTTAATGTAATTAGCTATTATATTATTGTTATCAATATGAACACAGTAAAAAATATTAAGTTAGTTATCTAAATGCTTTCTGCGCGAGTTGGCATCTTCTGTTATAGCAGATATACGAGGTACATTGTAGGCAGAGGAGATGTTGCGCTTCGCCGAGTCAGAATTCAGCTGTTTGCAAAGCTAATAAAAATAAAGATATAACACATTGTAACTAATTTTACGCTGTTACTTCATTAAATGTGCGCCGTGCCGTAATGTATCGATTAAAGGTTGTAGATTATATCGATATATATCGAAATGTTCAAAACCAGTTACGGATACAAAAAGAAAATAGTACATGACGTACGATATACATTATTGGATTTGAGCTTCATACAACGCTGAATATGAAGTGTACTATCTTCTTGATTGTAATTTCGTGTAGTTCCATAAAAGTCCAACGACGTTTCGGAGGAACGTATTGCCCCTATCTTCAAGGTAGCCCAAGCAAGGCGCAGGCAGGATCATATTCTTCAAGCTGTAGATCATTTTAAATATTTTTGACATGGTTTAATGTTCAACGACATTGAAGAAAAATATGTGTATGTTTTATGTCCTGTATTTTATATATGGTTTTTAATAACAATATCAGTAGCTGAGATTATATAGCGTGGAATGTTAGGATTTTTAGGAAATAATGAAGTGGAAGGAAGCTGTCAAGGCATAATATGACGTACAGCATTGTCTGGAGGGACTGAGCAAGATCGCGAAACACCCCTGTCTGGTAGAATGTCTATGACTACAGAAAAAAAAACAAATTAGACTTACAGAATATCGGCCTACGCGCAACGATTTTGAAAGCTTTATCTGTAGGTTGTAACATTTGTATTGATCTCTAATTTGTTTCATGCATCATATGTTCCCCAATTATTACGCGTCGGCGCTGTGTAGTACTGACTCTCTGACGTGATGTCTGGTATTGTTACAGTTTCCTATCCATAGATCATCTTTGTGCTTCACAGCACCAAATGGTCCATATCTCTCGTTCCACTTCACTGACTCTCGTTCACATGAACATGTAAACAGTGGCCATTTTGTCTTATTTGTACAAAGATAAATAAATGTATAGTGGAGAGTTTGTGTTCGTCACCCCATGTGTTTCTTCTATGAAAATTTTGAACCGATATCGGTGACATTTTGTATTGCGGGTCTGTTTTGAACGTGTTGAAGTAATTCCAGAATCATTACATATGCTAATTTCATTGAACTTTATCGCAGAAACTTAAAATTTTACAAAATAATTTGTACATTAATAATTGTTCTGTTTAAGGTCTACAATTTTTTATGATATATTTTACGATGTGGTGAAGACTTAATGAAATATATTCTATAGGGTTCTGACGATGGTGAATGACACACAGAATTACTGGGTTTTTGGACTTTTTCCATCATCCGGAATGCTAGGTAATAGAGGACACGACGTTTCGGAAACCGGATCTGTTTCCGTCTTCAGGTGATGAAGGAATACACCTACTCAGTTGGGCCCCTTAGAAAGAGCTAATCTCAGACCACTGATTGAAATTAGCTCTTTCTAAGGAGCCCAACTAGGTAGATGTCTTCCTTCCTCACCTGAAGACGGAAACACAACCGGTTTCCGAATCATCGTGTCCTCTATTACCTAGAAATCCGGACGATGGAAAAAGTCCAAAAACGCAGTAATATTTAATGAAATATAACTAAAACTAATGTCCGACTCTGTACAGTTTGGTATCTGTATTGTTATTAACTTGTTAACAATCCTTTTGTATCTGCAATAAATGAACATCAAGGCCAATGAATATGAAAAGTCCCGAAGAACGTATATGAAAAACTTGAGTTTCAAATTGCAATGCGTCTTTTGACGCTCATTAAACAAAACAAGTGAAAGTTTGAGATTCTAATGACGAAGAACATTGGGATTGTAGCCCTGTAGTTTATGATACCAGTGTAGTTTCGTTGGTAGCTAACAACGTTTCGGATAAGCCTGCTGCCTTCATCGTCAGGTAGAGATATTTGTAACCACCATGAGAATACGTGATCCGTCAAAGCCAGACGACCACAAATATCAGTAGGGCCTACTTTGTGCGCAGTTTCAGTTTCTGCTTGTTTGAGTAGGTTAGAAGAGTTTATCATATACTTCAGTTGGGTTGGATGTGTCTTGCAATTCATAGGTTGCGGTTTCATCGAACTCGCGCCCGTGGCTTAAGGAAGTAGATTGTAACAGACGTGAGGAGTTAATAGAGCCACTTTTATGACTATTTTTACGATGTCTTAAAAGAAATACTGCGCTGATGAAGACAGTTTATGACAGTCACAAATAAACATCGCGTTAAAACAAATAATTATCTTGCGCTCTGGCGCACTGCGTGAAAAACACCGAACTAAACACAGGAGTGAGTGACTGAGTGTCGGTAGTCGTGGATGTACACAGGACCGAGCACGGTGGCTCAAACGCCAGCGTCTCTGATTTGTATTCAGGAAGCGTCAGGTTTAAATATCAACCGGGATACGTACTCCCATGACGTAGTTTTCCTCAGTCCCTCGAGGCGAATTTCGATGTAGTACCTCAAATTAGAGGGGCACGCAGTAGCGTAGTTGGTTGAGGCACTATGTTACAAGCTCGAAGTTCGCGAGTTCAATTCCCGATAAGGTCATTGGATTTTTTAAATTGACCTAATCCTTCCAGTCGCACTGTGGCCCTGGGGTTGACTCAGCCTCTAACAGAAACGAGTACCAGGAATCTTCCTGGGGGTAAGAGGCGACCGTCATGTATGGGTGACAACATCACCGCCATCTATGAGCCGATTGTCTAGAAAATGCGGGAGTCTCGACGTCTCACAACCCTATGGGCCTACACGGCCTGTTATAGAGATAGCTTCACTTAAATTTACATGTGTTCCATAGAGCTTACAGAAACTAGGACAGAGCAGATCGCGTATCTCTTGTAGTTCTTGGAGTGTTCATTTTCAATTCTATTGAACACGAGAGCCCTAGCCACGCAGCACACTATCACATCCACGATTTTTAATTTTGGGGCTTCATCTTTGAGCTGGAACTTGGTTACAGAGCCAAGAAGTTGTTTCAAATTAAAAAAAAAATGAATTTGGTTCACTGAATTTAT